TCACTTCGCTGTTTTTTTTTTTTTTTTTTTTTTTCTTTCTTAAATTTGACAAGTGAGAGGTAGAGAAATTGAATTTTATCATTTGAGACACATGAATGTTGTATTTCTTGTGATCATATTATTTAAATTTGCTTATACATAGAAAAAAATTTTAATGTGTCAAAATATTTACATTATGCAATATTTCTACCACCAAAAACACTTAATAAGACCAATAGAAAAAAAAATATTTATAAAAATTTTTGTATGATATTTCTTGCATTATTTTCATTTCTCCACTCTGCTGTTACTATATTTTTGAAAAAAATTAAATAGCATACATGTTGATAATTATAAACATTGACATAATAAGTCATTTTTTAATAAAATTTTTAAAGATTGAGATGCTTAACCCAGACAATTAGATACAATTTTCATTGTTAACCATGAAAATGTTACTCAATAAATACTATGGTATTTCTTTATACATCTCCATCAACTATAGAATTAGTATTGCCAGATTATAGTCAGTGAATCTACTCAAGTTATAACTTATAAGTTAACTATAGTAGTCAAGATACCACCATACCTGACTACTACCATAGATATCTATGATGGTAGCTTGACAAACTTTTCATTAGAATATCACTTATTTCAATTATTGACAATAGCAGATTCTACTGAAATAACTATATAGGACACTTAACATCAAAATGACAATAAAAGTGAAATTCTATGTTAATTAAATTTAATTGTTGTAAATTTACAAGTTTTCTACACTTCAGTTGTCAACAATGTTATAGCAAGGTATTATTTATGGAGGTAACATAAAACAAGGTATTACTGTATATTGAAATCTGTTTATTGTAGTCATTGATATTGTAATTCAATTGTCTAATGTTATCAGAATTAGCATGTCCCAAAACTATATTTATTGCAATCAAAGTTTGTTATAAAACTTTTTTTAGGTAAATAGGTATTTTTAAGCTGTATTGTTGTACTAGTAGCCTCAATATGTTGCTGATAACATATACAGTAGACCCCCGTAATGCGGTAGATACGTTCCTCGTTATACGAATTTTGCATTGTAGGAATCATTAAATACATGAGCCAATCGCAGCCCGACACGTGTGAAGTTTACGGACTACGGCTGTTTGAAAGGTTTTCTTTTATAAAATTAATCAATTCTAGACTAATTCGACTTAACATTTCCAAAACATGTATAATTTTTTGGGAATAATCCGTATAAACTATGCTATAAACAAAAAATTGTAGGATTACTTACCGAGTGTGTACCATTCGATGATGCCATTGCTTAAGCTTGTTTTCGTCGCGGAGCAGCACACCAAACAGCGGCCGCAATTTCTGATGTTATTTTTCTGCAAAAACTTCGTTGAACTATGGAGACATCATTAATATAAATAATTTTTATGGCCGTTGAATAAGAAATGTTTCTTTCACAAGAAATGTATAAAATTACAGTGCTGTATTAGACTTACGGTACCTAATTTACATACTGTACAGACGATAGTAAACTCAACTTACTCGCCTAAACTCTCCGTAGCGTGGCGCTGGACGGCGGAAAGTAGTTCGGCTGCTCGTCTGCGATGACGAGTCTGCGATGACGTTTTACGCGTCCCTTTTAGCGTCTTTATACGAATATTGTCGCAATTTTTTCGCCGCGTTATAGGAATCTACGTTATAGGAACTCGCGTTATAGGGGGTCTACTGTAATTGGCATCAGTTATTGCTCTTAACCAATGCTACAAACGTTTATCAATTTTAATTGTTATGTACTTGCAATGCAATGGTTTAAATTGCTGGTATTTATTTCAAATATAAACTGAATGAATTACAGTACTTTTTATTAATAATAATTATAATTAATTAATTTTTATTGTACATTTTTAATTGTTTTAATATCAGCATCAATAAAATCAGAATTTTCACTAATTGTAGTTTTATTCACTTCACTTAATATTATCACTTGGTTATTATTATTGTACAGGCAAGTTCCAAATTGNCTTTACTTTCATATATTAGCTTTTATTATTGTATTATTAATTAAGATAATATACAGCACTTATAAGCTTAGCTTTTTTTATTATATACTCTTCTAAATTGAAGGATTTTCCTTTGGCTGTCCATATCACATGTTTTAGGCATCCATTATTATAATCAGGATACTTCTTGTCATAGATACACAAATACTTTCGGATGTTTTAAATAAATCTTTCCAGATCTATTCTAGAGTAGCCACAAGGAAACGTATACAAAAGCTCGTTTTCCTCCATTTTCACACCATGTCACAATGACCTAGATTTCACTGACTTCTGATTTGTGGGTGGTACCATTTTACGGCCGTATTCGCGTCAAAAGTTGAACACTGCTCAACTCACTTTTACGTTGGTTTTACGACCTACTCGGGCGTAAAATATCATGGTTATGTGATCAAACACTTTTACGATGAGGGGTTTTATGTCCATTTTTATGCTAGTGGAGTCTTGGCCTAACTCTTTTAAACTCATTAGGCTTTCACTGTACTGTTTCAAAACACTCACTGCCAACTTTAGTCATTCAAGGTCATTTCACTTTTATTATTTAAAAAATTCATGTATATACACTACTTATTGTAGTTTACAGGAGTATAGTTCATTTTTGCTAGCATAAAAAATTATTTTAAAAAAATAATATATCAGGAATGATAGTTTGTATGTTATAATTTCCAACAATTTGATTACAAATGAAATTTTTTGATTATATGATTGATCTTTATGAGTAAGCCTGCATGAATGACAATCTTGTTCTGTACATTTTAATATAAAATTTATGCATATTGCCTTATTTGATCGTGAACTACAAGGTCTGTTCAAAAAGTATCGGACCTTTGGTCAGCAAAAATAAATTTATTGACTTTGAGGTACAAAACCCTAATCCCCTTCAAAGTAGTCTCCTTGGTAATGTATACACTTCTCCCAGCGTTCCTGCCATTGCTGGAAACACTGCTGGAACGCATCTTTTGGAATGGCCATCAGCCGGTCCGTCGCATTCTGCACGATGTCTTCTCTCGACTAAATTCGGGTTTCTTTTAGCGGCATTTTCAGCTTGGGAAATAGCCAAAGGTCCCACGGAGCCATGTGGGGAGAGTACGGAGCATGACGAACCACAGGAGTATTGTGTTTGGC